ACCAGACTAATGAAAGTGGAAGACCAGCCATCGCTTTAATTTCCTTTCTTCCTATCCTAGTCTGAGATAAAGTGACTCTTGTCTGTCACTAGTTTTGCTTTATTCCTGATAAGTGCATACAGGGACTGTGAATACAGTTACCTGTCTGTACTTAGTAATTAAAAGTGCCTCGACACAGCAGAATTCTTAGCACGATGCGAGTACTCGGTGCAAGGGATGCCTCGCTACGGCGGGAAAAGCCTTGGTGCAGTGATCAGCTCCCGCCAAAACTAGCAGCTGCACTGTTTGGATGCATGCTACCGATTGGCTCATCGTAAATTATTCATACCCGGTGGCTAGCAATTGGCTCACTAGCCGTATAAAAGCTTGGGTAGTTTCCGCCCAAGCCGGAGAACTCCACGTGTACGTTGGGAACGAGTTCCTCGTGTACCTTGGAGCAAAATTGGAGGCCTGATCAACCACCAACCAGTCGCTGACCGTCCCGACGTACCCCGCACCCTGCATGCTTGGAAAACATCGGTGTGCCACCCGGTTTCTTTCTTTTGCTTGTAACCTGTAACGGAGCGTGCCTACACTGTGTGCATCGACGCAAGTCCCTGTACGTCAGTTTGTAAGTAAAGTTCTTTTCAATTCAACCAGTGCGCGTTTGTGCCTAATTCCACTCCATCAGTGCGGCCCCAATTCCAGCTATACTTGGCCTCCTCATGGCGTCACGAACAGGATCAGTATCCGGGGAAGACGCAATGGAGTTGGAATTAGTTAAGAATTGCCCCTGGCGCAATGGGAACCGCCACGTGCAGAACGCCATGGAGTTGAGTGCACACATCGCCTACCACCAAGCGGGCGGAACGGGTGGAAGACTCGTCAGCGGTTGCCTCTCACTCAAAGGAGAAGAGGAAACTGCGAAAGAGTGGGAAGTACATCTCCATCCCGGGGCGTTTGGATGTGCGATGGGAAGTGAGCGGGTTCTATTTAGACCCCGAGAGGAAGGGGGCACAAAACCCTACGCCAGACCAAAGCCGAGCGAAGAAAGTACTGCCCTCAGCCAGGAGTTTGCCCGCTGCATGCGCTACGTGCAGGAGGGCAAAGAGCCGGCGCTGATTAATTTAGCACTGGCACCTGAGCTGAGAGACCCCGAGCTTCTTTTGGAGCTCTGCAAAAAGCTAGAAGGGGGGAGTCACCCCACGATTGGAAGGACCGGCTCGGAACACGGAAAGGGGAAAATGTTGGATGCAATGTTCCGCATGATAACAACTTTGATGCGGGAAGAGGCAGACCTGGAAGCCCGACTGCTTGCCGTTCAGGCGGCTGAGCAGACGGCAACGGGAAAAAAACCCGGTCCCGCCATTTCAAGATGGCGTCGAGAGGGAAGAGAGCTGCCCGGAGGACCCAGAAGAGAAAGGCGGATCCTTCGACGGACGGGCGGAAGTTCAGTCAATTCAGTCAATTCATGGGGCGGAGTCAGACTCCGCCCCATGAGGCTGCATCGCTCCCAACTGCCCCGCCCTCGCAGTACAGCAAAGGGGCAACGGAGAAACAGCTGTATCTGGTTCCCCTAACGGATGCAGCGACGTCTCAGGAG